GTTCGTGTTTTCCTTTCCCTGTTCGTGTTTTCCTTTCCCTGTTCGTGTTTTCCTTTCCCTGTTCGTGTTTTCCTTTCCCTGTTCGTGTTTTCCTTTCCCTGTTCGTGTTTTCCTTTCCCTGTTCGTGTTTTCCTTTCCCTGTTCGTGTTTTCCTTTCCCTGTTCGTGTTTTCCTTTCCCTGTTCGTGTTTTCCTTTCCCTGTTCGTGTTTTCCTTTCCCTGTTCGTGTTTTCCTTCCTTCCCCTTCTCCAATTGTGCTGATATTTTGTGGCCTTTTCTTTAGTGATATAATAAAGGACTGTTCTAAAACTTGGTTATAAGAACAGTTCTGTAGTAGCTGTGGCCTCCAGTCACTTGTGCTCCTGTGACTGGCTAAGTTGCCAGTTTGTTTGCATTGATCATGTGGCTGAACTACTGCCAGATCTCTGGTGGACACTGTATCTTGTAGCTTTCTTAACTTGGCCTCCTTACAGAAACTGCTTCCTGTTTGTCTCCTTGTCCTGCTCCTTTTTTCTTCTGCCAGTTTCTAAATTATGCAGTGTGCTATTTAAACAAAACTATTAGTTCATGGGTTGTTTGTATACTTTTACATAGCTGTAACTTTCCTACAGTGGAAATCTGCAGCTTTGTGCAGCAAGGAATACAGTGTTTGCCAGGAGCCTTCATGTTTCATAAGACTGCACTTGAGGTCAGTTTTCAATAAGACAAAAAAGGTCAGGATTCAGAAGAGCATATTGAGTGATCGTGAGGATGAGATGGGGTGGGGGCCTTGTGATGGGAGTACCAAGCTGATTAGCCGTATCTTAATCTTGATGAGTAACTTGATGAAAATTACTTGTCAGGATGATTTACAGAAAGTGGAAGCTGGAGACAGAGAAGCATCTCTGAATGCTCCCATAGTTATGCATGAGTCTGTGTGTCGTCGTGTTTATTGGCTCTCTTGGGGATGGATTGATATTCCATTTACAGAAGGCTTTGTAGAACAAATGAGTATTCAGATTTCACTTAGAGAAATCATTCTGTAAAATGCAGTATTTCCTCTTAGTATGTGATGAAAAATTATGTTTCTCAGCTTCTGAATAAGCTGATACTGATGTAAAATGGCAAATTACTTACTGCTTCAGACAGTGTTGTGGCGTTGCAGATTTGCTTTGCATTTTCTTTAGATGTGTTACTATCATCTTTGCCTAACCACTTGAAGCTATTCTAAAAATACAGCAAACTGAGGCAGTTGTTAACCATTGCAGTAGCCACTTCAGTTCAAGCTGAGAAAGCAGCCAGTGTTCCTTAGCCGGGATAACACTAAATAAAGTGTAATGAACACAGATATGTTTTTTTAATGTGGTTAAGATGTTTGTTGAATGTAACTTTATTCAAAGCTAGGGGATGCTAGACTAGTGCACCCCTCCTCCTATTTTTTCAAATAGCACAAAAAAAAAAACCTCGTGAAAACCCAGTCTCTGTTGGAATACTGATTGTTGAGGTCAGACGTGTATACCTATACAAACGGTTTTTAGAGTCTTTCCTCATGATTCTGTGTAACTGTCTGACCTGAAAGTCCTGACCACCCAGCTCTGTTTTAAGGGCTGTGTAATGTGCTTTGAATTGTGGAAGGATTTGCTATGGATCATTCTGTTTCTCATCTACTTTTAAGCCTGTTGCCTTCAGTACCACATCTGAAGGGAATAACATGTGCTTTCTTTACAGATTAAGCCAAACTGTCTACCTTTAATTTAGATTCTAAGCAGTTCAGGGCCGTAACTACACTTTTGCTGTCCATTCCGTGAAGTCTGTCTTGTTAGAGTTCTGACTAAGGCCTGAAGGCTCCCAGCCTAATCTAATTTATTCATAGTAACAGATGGTAACTCCTTCAGTATCTGAAATGAAGACCTAGAGAGCTATGCAGATATCTAGTGAGCCAACCTCGGAGAAATACAGAATGTAGTCTTCAGCAACCGTTAAAAAAACCAATTGTGTAATCCTCTCAGAACAGAGCAACTGTAGGTCACAGATTTCATACTGGCTTCTGTGTTTAATCTTAGTGGGAGTCACTTCCATGTTATTTGAGTTCTTTGTGGGAGGACATGTTTGTGCAGAAGATAAACTACGCATTTTTCATGTGATGCAATTGGAGCAAAGTTCTTCCTAAAAGTTAAAGCAAACAAATGACCCATCTTTTCCTATTCCTCGATATGAAACATGGAACATTTTAGTGGATACTGTTTTTTTGGCCATGTGCGGAGTTGGTGGACTTGTTTACTGGCTTTGTGCAGAATAGTTAAACCTGGTGTGAACTCAGTGGAGTGAGCACTACTTCAGTGTAATTTAACACTTGACAAACAAGCAGTGCTGGTATTTAAAATACCTGAATGTGAAATTGTAATTGTCGGGTACGTGGTGGAAAGTAAGAAAAATAGGTTGTCGTAATGCTTTGACCCTGCTGGTTGAGAACCGGTTCTGTCCACAGATAACATAGTGAAAGCAAAAATGTTATTTCAAAGCGGTAGATTTCTGCTGGAATTTTAATGCGAGGGAGGCTATTTAATAATGTTCCTGGCAAGGGAAGTATAGGATAGTGGTTTGTTCATGCAGCACTTACTCATGCACTTAAACACAGATTGGGTTTTGCTTCTGTTTCCTTTTGGTTAATTTTTTTTACCTTTCAGTTTTTGTAATTCAGGAAAACAAAATTGTATCAGGTTTGACTGGTGGTCCATTTAGCCTGTTTTTAACTGATGATGGCTGCTATTTTACTTTCCCTTTCTCTTCTGTTTGCCAGTGCCAAATGCTGTTTTCTGGGCAACATTTTGGTCAGATTTCTTCTGCTTTTCTTACATGAAATGTAAGCCCAAACAGCTCTACCTGACTGTCGTCTGTCTGTGGCAAGATTAAAGTTACAGATGACAGTGGGAACCCATCAGCTTTAGAAACAGGAAAAACTGAACCAGAAAACTGAGAGTTGAGAAAATGTGTTTCTCAAGTAAAGAATAATTGCAGCATTTGAAGAATTCTGGAGTCTTTACTATAGGATTTAAAGTAGTTAGTTAAAATAATATTTTTGTGAAATGTGCCTTTTTTCCAGGAACATAATAAAATTCTTAGTTTTAACCATTCCTAGTATTGGGCCTATGAATTGAAATAGAACAACTATTTGTAGTAATGAATTCAAATCCAGAAAACAATTCTTTAAGAAACAGTGTTAGCTAGTTTATTTTTTCAATATGATTTAAATATAAAAGGTGAAATCTAATAGTGGAAAAGTGTATTGGCTCTTCTAAACAGCTAAGCTAGGCATTTCTCTCCCAATTAAAAAGTGACCCCTTCCTAGCTTTTTCTTTTAAATGAGCATTTAATTTGATAAAGAAAATTCTTTCACTTTTGCTAGCTTAGTTCTCTCTGATAGCCTTTGGTCTTAACAGTTTGATGTGTACCATGGTTTTGTAGCGTGGTGAATGCATTTATGAAGTTTTGCTAGAAGTCCTCAATTCTGTGCATGCCTCAGTTTCCCCAGTTCCTTTCTCTAAGGTGTGACTCCAGACAGAGGAGGCTGTTCTCAAGCCTTTCTACAATAAATAACAGTATAAATAATTTACATGTACACTAGGATATAATCCTCTTCTATTTGTCCCTTCTTCCCCCTGGTCTCACAGACCCTTGTTTTTCTGATGTCTTATTTTTATTGTGATTCTTTTGACTAGCTGCTCCAAGAAGCAGTTACTTACAGTGTGTAGAAAAATTAAGCAGCAGCATGCTATTTTGTATGTTTGAGATAATTGAAGTAGTCCTTGTATTGTTGTTTTCTGACCTTGCAGCAGTGCACTTAGCATTTAATTTTTCTTTTCACATCATATTTGTTGGGTATTTGAAGGTGTAATGCTATTTCTGTGAATTCTGTAGTAATGAATACTTGTTAACAATTTCACGTAATTCAAATACAAGTGTGTAACATAGCATCCTTCCTTCAGTGACGTGATGCAAATTGGAATTCCTTTCAAAATTTGAGGATTCAATATAAATTTAGTTGTTCCAAAATTGCAGTGGTTTATAAAGACGCATATACATTTCCTTGACTTCATTAATGTAAATTTTGCTCTGCTTGCCTGTTTTACTTTGCCTACGTGAGTTATTTATTGAGATTTTGTTTCTAATCTGAATTTGCAGACTTCACTACTGGGTTGGGGTGGGAGCTGGAATATCTCATTTCTATGACTCTTCTCTGGGGTGGCATTTCATAACTTTCTACTACTCGTTGTCCGTTCCCACGCCGCCCCACCCCCCCCAAAGTCTTTTAGCTTGAAAACATCAATGTTTATTTAATTTAAGTTTTCTAGACTTAGAAGACAGCTAAAAACTTAGATAACATGTTCTTATATCTTGAATGGATTGGAAAACACACATTTTAACCTTTCAGCTTCTTGTGAGTGACTGAAAGGGTAAAATCTTTGTGGAAAAAGCTGTTACTAGTACTGCACAGTAACTTATTCTGTGTGCTTTTTAGCAGATTGCCAGGCTTTCTTGCAGTATCTTCTTTAAAATGGTTTTTTGTAGAACTGGTTATAGGAAACAAGTGAAGTGCTGTGGCTTTTGTGTGTGTGTGTGTGTGTGTGTGTTTGTTCAGTGTACTGTCTTATTAGAAGCCAAAAGAAAGGTTTTAAAACTTTACCAGTATTTTGCTGCTTGTGCTTCTGTTATTTCTGTATTGCATTTCAGAATCAAGTAGATCTCATGTGGATGTAATACAAACAAAATTAAAATTTTCATGGAAAGTAACAGGTAAATGTGAAACTAAAACCCAAGCCAGAAGGCAGCTAATGTGTGTTAGTGTCAATAGCCCTTCAGTCTGTTAGTTTAGTCCCTAATAATGAATGTGACGGGCTATTTTATATAACTGTGCTGCTAAGGTGGAGTCAGCAGAGCTATTGCTGGTGCTCAGGATGTGTTACACAACTGTAATATCAGAGCCAATTCATTTGATGCTTTTTTTTCTTAAATCTTTTATAGTGTGCCGGTCAAATAAAAGTCCGTGGGTCTGTCTGACGTGCTCAAGTGTCCATTGTGGAAGGTGGGTACAAAGTCTCAGTGTGCAAATCTTTTAATGAGACCTTTATATTTTTCCTTTGTTGCTTGACTGTGAGGCAGTTCATTCAGACTTTTCCTGAGTACAGTGTAATTCCCAGAAATAAACTTATAATGATCTCATTTAATGCTATATGTTTATACTGAACACACTTCTCTGCTACCTTTTTAGAGTACAGAGTTTATACTCGACATATCTTTTTTTTGGTTTTTTTTTGGCCCCCAGAAGAAAAGTGTACAGTGAATGTGCTTGCTCAGCCCAAGAAGGGCCTGGAGAACTGTTAATTCAGTGGATTATTGTGAAATTTCTTTCTGTATAAGATTTTTCTACAATAATAAGATTAAACCAATAAGAATTCTTGGAAACCCACAAATCCAAAGTTGGTATAGCTTATTTTAAGAAAAATAGCAACTGTCCAGCATAGACAGAAAATAGTTTAATGTACTGAAGTGTCTTTTTGAAACAGTTACTGCCATAACATATAGGGGCAATCTACCATCAGACTTCCTTCAGAGTACACTTGTGTTTTGCCTGTATTAGTTGAAGCATACTAAAAGAATTTGTAGATGAATGATACAGTCAGCACTGTTGTTTATGTCAGGATAATTGTAGCACAGTTGTTGCTACATAAATGTTTGAGGTGCACATATTAATGAGAATGCAGTTAGTGTCGACATTTAGACAGTACCTGAGATGTGAACATGTTTTCATCTGTAGGGTAGCATCTGTGCTGATGTGCTTTTATTCTGGAATAGCACCATTAAATTTAGTGACTTTGTCTTTTAAAGTAGATTCAATACACTCTAGTTTTGTTTCTTTCATCTGGATAGCTGTACATACCACAAGTTTAATAATGTCATACCCAGATTTTTCAACACATCCCCCTCTTTTTCTATATTTACTAGCATATTTTCTAAATTTATACTCAGCTAAGAGAGGGGGAGGTACTTCATGTTATGTAGTGGTGTGAAATATGTAGTTTGGAATATTTAACTTGTTAACAATTTAAAAAAAATATTGGTGACATACAAACTTTATAGTGTGCAGTTAGTAGATGTTGAGTCAGTTATTTATGCAGTTTGTCTTGACTTCTCAAACTGCTCCCATCCTTAGAATGGAAAACAATTGAATAGAAGAGTTTAATATACCTTGTAATGGGAACACTTTTGATCATGAAAGCACACGGCATATTCTTCTGTTCAGATAATACTTGAAATTAAAGGAAGAGAAATAGGGCTTTATAGAGCTTCAATAGATCTTCACTTGAAGTACATCTTCCGGGTCAGAGTCATTGGGAGTGTTACTGGACATGTTATAGCAGCAGAGCATTTCTGGTGGGAACATAACGTTATAAACCTAGCATTTGCTCTGTTAGAAAACCAACACCTACAAGCACAACTGTCTTACTTGGGTTATGACATAATTGCTGCAGAATTCTGCCAGCACAGCAGTGTCAGTAACCCTGCAGCTTCAATGCCTTCACTAGCACAGATGTGTTAGCAGAATTGTTTACACCTGCATGTGAGAACAAGTGTAGAATGCAGAGACCTTTATGTTGAGCATGTCCAGAGTTCTTATCAATTAGCATTGCTGAGTTCAACAAGCGAAAAATGGGGGAGAAGGAAATTGGCCTGAGGTATGGCCATGCATTTCTAACTGTTAATGATTTTCAGTTGATACTATGGGTATTTGTAATGACACTTTAATTAAAAAAGATGCTCAATTTTCTAAATTTCAAATTTTGAGTGTGAAAATGCTTGTATCAGCAAAAGAGCTGTAGGATTTTAGATTTCTTTTTCAGTTATGTGACCCCAAGCCCTAGAACCTTTCAAATTCATGAACTTTATAAAATGTAGAACGCTTTAGTATTAAATTGTGCTGCAGAATAGGAAAGCTTAAAATGGATGTGCTTTCGCATGGGGGTCAGCACACTGTTAAAGTAATCACAAATATGAGTGCTGGGTGGAGGGAAAAGTAGAGCTGTAAGCAAGGTATATGGGAAAGCAATATGGAGAACTAACCACATTCCAGGTATGGGGAAAGGGAGCTGATGATTTTCTCAGGTGTGCAGAGGGTATATCAGTCTGTTCAGGGCCCAGATAGGGTTTAGTACAAGGATGCCAGTTTGTTGGTTACTGTGAAGGAGGTGGAGAGATTAATTTTACAATGTGGGAGAGTAAAGGGGTAGAAAGTTAGAAAATTTAACTAATGTTTTTCTACGGGTAATTGCCTATTTGAATGCCTGTATAAAAATTGGATGCTTCTTAGGCTGCGTTTTTTTTCTTATTTTCAATGAATGTTGGCTAAGTAACTGTTTAGAAGTACAACACTTCTTTTGTTTTTCATTTATTTTAGATATGTGAATGGCCATGCCAAAAAGCATTATGAAGATGCACAGATTCCTATGACCAATCATAAGAAAACAGAAAAACAAGAGAAAGTTCAGCATACTGTGTGTATGGATTGCAGTAGTTACAGTACATACTGGTAAGGGTTTAAATGCTGTAATTTGACAAGTTTTTACATACTAGAAGGTGAAGACTTTAGACTCTTGGGAAGTATTTTATTACGCACAATTTTGAGTACTTCATCTCTTGATTTCCAGACCTGGCTGTTTAAAAACAGTTATGAAATCACCCTCTGTTTTCGCATGTTAGCTCTGATTGTGGCTAAACTCCTGCATTTCAAACTGCTTAGCAGAAACTTCCTGAAATCGATGCTGTTTGTGATTTGGAGTGGCTTCTGTTTGCTTTGGGGTATGTTGAGAACGTAACCTAAAAGGTTGGTTTTGCAAAAGCTGCTGTTTAGTTATAGTTACTCCTTCCATCAAGTTGGTAAGCCTTTCACAGTTTCTTTATTTGTCAGAATATCAGAAAGTAAATTAAGACGCTATAGTTCCTGCCCAAGAGAGGTGAACTTAGGGTGTGTTTGCATGATGGGTTTGTTTTTTGTTTGTTTTGGGTGGGCTTCCCCCCAGTATCTCTATTTTCTTCGTTCTGAAAGGAAGGCTTCTTTATTTTGGAGATTTGATGCAACCTCTGATTTTCTGGAAAGAATGGATCCTGTTGGGAAGCAGCATAAAATCTGACAAGATTAAGTAGCAGAATCACAGAAGGGATTCTTTTAACAGAAAAATGACGTGGGCTGATTTATTCTATCAGTTCCTTAGAGTGAGATATGAACACTTTTTAGAGATATTTAATAGTTATGCCAATAGTTACGTCTGGTTCCCTATCTTCCTTGTTCCTCAGAGAGCAAGGACTGGAAGTCCGTTGAAAGCAATGCTTTTGTGCATTCAGCATCCTCCATCCCTTACACCTTTAAGCAAAACTGCTGACAGCTGCTTCCCCAGTTCCTGTTAGCTTCCCTGTTTCCCCATGTGTGTCATTACTTGTGTGGTAGGGCAGTGTAGGATTTGAATAGTGCAAATCCTGGGGAAATCTGTGTTATGAACTTGTAAAATTACCGAGTATTTAGCTCCACTGATGGGTATGTTGTTCAAATAATTGAGTATCTTTTGTATACTAATGAAAAAAAACTAGGGAAAAATCTGTTTGCTGAAGTTTTGGTATCCAGTTTAATGAGGAATACTTCTGTAACAAATCTTTTTATCCCCTGCAAGTAAAATCACACTTAAGTGGAAATTTTGCTTGAAGCAACTAAAAAATTAATCAGATGATGCATGCAGCAATGACAAAAGCTGTATGGATGTTAAATGTTAAGTAGAAAAAAAGTTTGAGTGGCTTTGTGATGTATGGGGATTTTGCTTCTATTTACATATTATACATACACATTATTTAAATGACCAGCATTCTTATCTGCCTCTCTGTGAAAACATGAGAAAACACAAACGTTTTTGTCTAAGTGATACATATGCACAGGTTACCAGTATTGAAACAGCTATGGGAAGCTAATTCCACTTTTCTGATTAATGCTGTTAACAACTGAGTTCTGCACTGTGGCATTTTTCCTTTTTTTTTTTTTTTTTTTGAAGCATGATCTGTCTTCTAGTCACTCTGAAGGTAATAATGTCTGGAGGAATTAGCAGTGTATTTTAAGTCTTCATTATATCTCCAGTTACTATGACAAATAGTACACCCAACTTGCTGAGGGTTGATTAGTTACAATAGCAAGTCAGAGCACCATGCTGACCTTATCCCACACCAAAATATGGGTATTGCAAAATGACGACAGCCAGACTGAGGACTGTGGGATCTATTACTGGAGCAAACTGTGCTTGTGAGGAGCAGGTAGGCATGCACTTAGGAAGCTCACTGGTGTTTCGCAGCATATTTGTGGTAGGACAGATGAGAAGCAGTTTAGCATGGGATGTCTTTTCTGCTATAATAGAAGTAGAAGGCTGAGTCATCTATGGATGAACTGGAACTAATTATAGAGGGCTTTGCCGTGGGGAGTTTCTGTTGCATATGAATTCACTAGCAAATTATAACTCTCCTGGGCTAGTGTGAAGCTGAACAAGTTTCAAAAGCAATGTATCTTTGTTTTCATTTAGGATATTTTAGGGTTTTTTTTCCACCTGGCAATTGGAAAAAGATATCTGGATTTGTTATTGCACTCATTTTTTTTCAGTGGATGTGAGCTTAGGTGTGTAAAGATAAAGCAGAAGGCATTCAGGCCAACTTCTGCCCCTTTATTTCAGACAGTACAGTAGGGGCTGCTATCAAATAGTGCTTGCCAGTTAAAAGCAAATAGTTGGGTGAATTTGAGTTGTAAGGAGAGATGGAATTTTGGAATATTATTTGTTAGCTTCTTCAGTGTAGAAATTAATCCAGTAGACAATGCTATGTTGATGCAATGATGTTTCTTTTAAGTGAACTTTTATTTAAAGATCAATATTTTATGCTAGCAATCTGGGCAAACTCAGTAATTTGAAAGTCAGGAAAATACCATCTGAAGACTTAATTGCTTTTTGCTTCTACTGTAAAAATAAGAGATATTTTGATGCAGTGCTGGCTTTTGTATTTATATTTGCGATTTTGTTTACTGCACAGAGTTGAGTAGAGTACCCTTGTTCCATTTTTACCCTATGGATTCCAGTTTACTTTGTTTTCTTAGCTTGTGTGATAGTAGCAGTGAACAGGCCTGTATAGACTCTTTTTCTAAGCAGAAGGTGTGTATTCCTTGCCTTTCTTTGGCTGTGTCAGACTTCCATGCAGTCAGGAGAGCAGAGTCCAGAATTTGCCTTAGCTATGGTTATCATTCCAAGGGGAAGAAATACTTTGTGACTGTTGTAGTCATCATTTATTGAGTTCTGTTTCTAGTTCACATGCAGTCTTGCTGTAAACCAAAACCAGATCAAGCACTCTGCTTTAGTTGTGCTTCAGTGTGAAAGTTGAGGTGTCTCTGTTTCCTTTTACAGGTTCACAAGTTTTCAACATAGCTGTAAAAGGAAAATGTTTCAGTTCTAGTCGGATGGTGGTTAGTTTTTATTTTTTCAGTCTTAGATGAGGTTTTTATTGCCTTTATAAATTCAGTAATGTTTTGAAAAATACAGGCATGCTTGAGGTATCATTCAGTATTGGGCAAGTAGAGATTTGCTTTTCCAGAGGTGTTTGATCTTTCTTCAATGCCCTCCTATTCACCTGTTTAGTCTTCACAGTGGAGAAGTTGAGAGAATGTTGATCTTTTGTTTATTATGAGAGAATGACTCTTCTTCGTTCTTTGGTCACTTTTGAGACAGTAGATGCAGTACTAAATCTTCAGACTGAATTATGTTTGAGACCCTACAGACTCCTGAATTCCACTTCTTGGAGATAATCAGCCTTTCAGTTAGTTCTGAAGTACTAAGCACAAAGAGTTTACGAGAAGTAAACTTTTTTCTCTTCAGGCTATCATATGATGCTGGCTTCGGCTGTGTTAGTGGTTGGGGTTTTTTTCTGTGCATGAGAAGTAAAATGGTATGTGTAAGAAGCTTGCTTTCCGAAATAAGTTTCCTGAAAGAGGACTCTTGCAAATTTGCTCAAGTGTTTGTGCACAGAGGGTTGGTTAGCACAGAAGAAAGGGTGCTCTGTTTACGTACTTGCATAGTATGTTTCTCATGTTCATTTAACAAACACAACTCACAGGTCAGATTTCTGACCCGTTAGCCTCCTTGTTATCTCTTAAAGGGACACGGTTTTGCTAATGTTATAATTGTCCCCCTGCCACTGCCCAGGCTGATGTAAAAAGAACTGAGTGCCACGGACTTAAAATTATTTTCTAGTCTTTCTTTTTGTGATGGTGGTTCTGTTTAAAAAACAGACTTAGTGTGCCAATGTATGAGCCATCTGCAAATGAGCTTGGTTAGGTAGGACCATTGTTTTGCATTCTACAGTCAGCAGAAATTAAAGAGGATAAAAAGCTTTTTATCAAGACAGTAAAATTTGAGTTCTTAGTTTACTCATATAAGGTGTTAGCACAACTAAGGAAACTTGGATTTTCCTAATTTTTCTTGTCCTGTAATTCTTCAAATCCAATCAGGAGCTTTTACACATAGCGTGAAGTTCTGTAACCTACTGAAACAGACAGCACTAAGTGGAAGTGTTCCCCAGAGCAGTGCCTGTGTTCACTGGCTTTCTGCCATTTTAGCAGCAAAGGAGGTCAGAAAAGACCAGGCCTTGGAGGTAGCAGAGGTGCTAAAAATAGGAAGTTTATAGAGAGGAAAATATTGTGCTGATCTATATAAGGGACCCTCCCTGAAGTATAAACTTGTTCTGTACAATTGGTATTCAATACATACGGTAGAACTGCTGTATGCAAGAAAGTGTATTGTTTATTTGTGATAATCCTCAGTATCACAAATTAAACATCTGTTCTGAATGTCAGCTTTACATATAGGAAGTAATTGCTCAGCAGTTTACCTTTAAGGTGTATGGGCTTAGCAAATTTTAAGCTATTAAAGCATAAACTACTTTTTATGCTGTTTACTTCATTTATCCAAAATAGATTGCTAGTACTGCTGTTATTTTTAGTAGTGGTGCTAAATCCTCAGTGTTGCAAGGGAGATGGCTTAAGAAAAACCTGCCTATTAAAAAGAGAAATAGAAGAAGCTTGTCTTGATCTTAAGTGAATCTTAAAATTACTTTACCGCTGTTGCAAGTGTTACCAAAATATCAGATCAATAACTTTCTAAGACCAATTTGTAGGAGTCAGAAAGCAAGACATTCTTTAATTCAGTGCTGGGAGCAAATATGAATCATTTCATAAAACAAATGCTCAAAATATTAGCAGTTGGCAGTAGTTTATATGTGCCTTACACATACATATTAATGACATAAAAGTTTACAAATGTATTACGTTTCCAGTAAAAAGTTTACATATGCACTACATTTCCAGTAACTAAAATACCTACAAACTAATTGTACATGCTCCATTAGCATGAGGAATGGTCTTCCAGTGGTCTGAGTGATAGTCACTTAAGCTGTGTCTTCATGGAGGAGTCTTATCTTTCAGGTTCCTGTGCTTTTGTTTTCACAAAGCCTGACTCATCAAGTTGGTCTGAGTAGGGTGATCCATTAACTTCTTATCTGTGCCTCCATCTTGCAAGGCTGAGTCAGCAAAGTGGGCCTCAGACAGATGGAAATTCTATTATCCTTATGCAGCTTCTTCCTAGCTAAAGTTAGTCAATATACATGTGTAAGAGTATAAAAATATTTCTTATATTATCTAGTCTGTCAGGTTACAAAAGGACCTTGACATTTAATGAGGTATTTGGTTTTATTCTTCCATCTTGAGGAAAGTGCTAACTTGCAATTTTATGTAAAGATGTAATTGGTATGTGAGATTAGACTAAAAATACGGTTAACATGATCTTTAGGACATGAGAGCAAATATTACGTCATCTTTCAGCAATAGGTTTGCTTAGAGGCTTTCAGTGAGCTTGCATCTGCTTACATTCCCCATGTTTAAGTGTTAGTAGCTGCACAACTGGGGTAGCAGCGTAATTGTGCTAGCATACCTGGGGATGTGGACATGCCTGGTAATAAGGAGGGGTCAGACTCTGCTGTATCCACCTGCAGTATATTTACCTCTCACCAAAGCTGGCCTGGGTAGTTTGCTCTGATGACTGTCTTGGAGCTGTGGTGTCCTGCGAGAGTGGCAAATGCAGGAACACTTAATTAGGTAACTGTAGGTGACTGATAGAGCTGAATAGGGCTGCTTAAAACATGGCTGAAAAATAAGTACATTCTTCTTCCCCCTCCTAAACTAACTTGGTCTGTGGTGATATTTAAAACAAAATTTAAAAGTGTGTTACTGGCAATAGCTATCTTACAATTTCTAGATCTTGCATAAGTATCCATAACTGTGTTTGGAAATCTTGAGAGTCGTATAAATTTCTCTTTTCAGAGGCAAAAGATCAACAGAGATCCAGGACAGACTGGTCTTACAGACTCCTTTATTGGCAAGGGCCTTTGCTTTCTCAACTTCGTATTCTTTTCAAAATGTTTGAATTAACACTAGCAATACTGTTGCCTTTGAACTACATTGCAGATTTATGCAGAAAACTCTGTAAACTCCAGTTGTGCCTGAAGTCAGCAGCTTTGTTAACTTAGGAAGCACGGGTGTGCTCCAGTGGCGGAGTAACTTGAGATGATGAGGATGTATTTCACATGCGAGTCAGTCCTGTGCTAAAGAGGAAGGAAGGCAACAGCCTCAGTTCTGATATTAAACATTTCCGAAGTTAGTTTTTCTTCACAGGCAGTGTTCAGTTGCCTGTCAGATTTTGAGGCTGTGATTTGATGCTTCACAGCTAGCACAGGGCTGACAAACACTGCTCAGAGCTGAGTTACCTATGTGGGATGTGGGGGAAGGGACTTCATAACAAATCTCTGCTCCCTTTTTGTTACAGTGCTCTCAGAAGAGCTGGTGCAAGTGGTGTGAAGTCTTTTCTTACCTTCCTGTTTCTCATGCCAGAATATGAGTTATCTGGTTCTTGAGCTAGCTCTTGGCTAACCCTGCAGGAGTGCTGTGAAAAGTCATCTGCAGCTTCTGTGCATGGCAGTAAGGCTGCTGCTCTGCCTCCTTTGAGGGAGACTGGAGGGGACTGCATGGAATTCTTGGTTTACTGATGTGCAGGTGTGAATTCTGCAGGGCTGGGCTTCCTTCCTGTCTGCACCATTTCTGGTTTTTGGTTTTAAGGGATTTTTTACCCCTGTATATAGGCATTGTCTTGCCTTCACAAACAGAAGAAAGAACATGGGTAAGAGGGTCCACATTACTCTGGGACCTCTGTTCCTCCTTTTTGCAAGGGATTTAAAATACAGAAAAGTGGCAAAAGCAGTGTCATCTTGCAGTAGTGGTCTCCTTGTGACAGTTGTCTTTGCTACACTCTCATTTCATCAAATCAGCGTGTGCGCTGTGAATTTACGTGTACTCGGAAGAACAGTGAAATAAGGTGTGAGGTTTTTTCTCAACATTTCCTAAAAGGCCCTCGTCCCATTTAGAAATGGTCTTGTGACTGTTCTGGAATACTTTATTGAAATTCTTTGCATGCAATCTGATAAATGTTTTTCTTGCAGTTATCGCTGTGATGATTTTGTAGTCAATGATACCAAACTGGGCCTGGTACAGAAGGTCAGAGAGCATCTGCAGAACTTGGAAAAGTAAGTAGTTTGTTTACAAGCAGATTGCTTTGGGTGGACTTGTAATATTGCATTATTTGAGTGGTGTTTCTGCTTTATATGTGTATAAGTATTTAATATACATATTTTGACCCTTCCATGTGTGTGATACTGTGTATGTTTTAATGATTTTCATCACTGAGAAGCAGAGGTGCAGAATGAATGGATTCAGCTGATCTTGTGTGTTTTGTTTCTTACGCAGTGAATCTTGTAGAAGCAGTGTATGGTGATTTAGGAATTTAGATATTGATTAACTTCCTCGCTAACTAGCCAGTAATTACTGTCTTTTTTCATATAAATGTGATATTTTCCAGAACAGAATCATAGTTTTGTCAAGGCCAGAATAAGTTTCTGGAACAGCAAAATTGAAGAGAAAACGTAGGTGGAAATAGTCTTCATAGTAATTGCATAGTTTGGTTTCCAAACAAACAGATAAAGCTTATGAGCTTGGAATTGTACAGAATGTTTTTTCTCCCTCTCTTTGTCTGATGTTCCAGTGAAAAGTAGGCATTGCAGTCTTCATGATGCAGATGCTGCAGCCAGTGCTAGGTAGCCGAGTCTTCTCGCATTTTGCTTGGAAACCATATATAACATCAAGTAGAAATACGTGTGCATACAGTGCTCCCAAATACATTTGAATGCCTTGGAGTTCAAATAGGACTCCTGCTAAGAAATTGTTGTCATTTTGGCAAGCCTGTAAATCCTCTCTGAGTTAAGTGTGTCACTTAATATTTTCATTATTTTCCATTCTCTTTTTGATAGGCTTATTGGGTTTATAACGTCGATGTGAAGATGCTCAAACATAATGAGAAGTGCACATTAGTGTTTCAGATATGTCCAGGAGATCTGGCTGTTTGAGAAGTAAATGATACTGTGGAGGCTTTCATTGTGTGTTGTAACAATTTTTTAATGTTTAGAGGGCTTTTAATGAGGGGGGGGAAATCCCCTAAAATCTGGAACAAGTTAGGATTTGCTGTTAGATTAGTGAGAAGTCATAAGCTGGTAGAACTGAGGAGCTAGTAATTTCCAGTGATGAGGAAAAGAGTAACTAATTGTTCTTAGAATTGTGTATTAGTATGGCACAAATGTTACACGGTCATGCTTTTTTATTAAAGTGAGGTAAGTCAGCTGTAACACATCAGTGCTAGCACTTGAGAGATTTTTGATTTTTGGTAACTTTGTCTTGATTTTTTTGCAGTTGCCTTTCTAAAGGCTTAGATAATTCTTTTGACAGAAGTATGTTATGGAAAATTCTGTATGAAATATTCCTTTGGTTAAGGAAAAAGATCGATACTTTAGGTGAAAAGTAACATGCTAACAAGGCCGCTCTTCAGGATGCATACTGTAGCATGCATAGCAATGAACTTGACTGTGATACTAGTGGTGATAATAGGATGTGCATCTGTACTCGGAGGGAGATGCAGTCTGCTTTAAGTCTGGAAAGCTTATGTTGCAATCTGGAATCTCTTTCTTGTCCTAATGACAGTTGTTGGCAGATGTAATCAGGGTGATTGTCTGTTGTCCCTTTCACACAATATTTTGGTTTTGTTACAAGTAACCTCTTCTAATTATTTTTCAACAGTTCAGCCTTTACGTCAGACAGACATAGGAAAAGAAAACTATTGGAAAACTCATCTCTGAACAGCAAGTTACTAAAAGTAAATGTAAGTATGACGGATCCAGTACAGTGAGCTTAAGAGTTTTTTTCTGAACCTGTTGAGGCTTATAGTTTGTCTAGACTTGAATTACTTAGTTACCCAAATTCTGCTTGGTGCAGTTCGTCTTTCTCATCTGACCACACACCTGGAAGGACCCCTTCTCACAAAAGATTGTCTGATATTCTGCTGCATTTTTGCTCACCTAGACTTTGAGTTTTCCTGTGCTTAAGAAGGGTTTCACATCAAGATGGAGCTTCAGGGTAGGTTGAACTTGGTGGGATCTGTGAAATCAGAATGAGCTAGTACCTACTGGGATCAAATCAGGGCTAGACATAAGACTTTCCTTTTCTGAGCAGACAAGGGGTGCTTTTCTTCTTTTTCTTTTTTTTTTACAGTGCAAAAGGCAGTGAAGCAGGTGCACTGTCTTTTTCTAGTGGGAGAAGAGAGTATTAGGGGAAAGTAAAAAAATTGTAACTAATTTTTAAAACAGTTTAGTAAATGTTGCTTTCAGAAGGAACTGTGGACTATTCTGAAAGCTTTTCTCTCTTGTCTTTCTGCTATTTTACCTTCACATCTGCAGAATAGCACCCAGGAGAGGACAGTCCAGCCCTTGCTAGATAGCTGAAGGTCTATATAGTTTCTTCCAGTCAAAGAATGCCCCAAACCTAACGTCTCTGTTTTCCACAGTTTGGGTTGAGGATGTTTCTGATCTTCATAATTTCTCCCAGATTTTAGGGAGGTGGAGGGGAGACACTGACCCAGCTGCAGGCAACTACTTAATTTTCACCTTCAGCCAGAAGGAGTGGTAGAACAGAGCTATTCCTCCTTGACCCCTGGGGCTGCAGGACAGCAGTTTAGTCAAGGGGAGCTGAAGTAATAGCTGTTCTCGGCTGTGGGGAGTTACCTGATTATGAAGAGAAGTTGTTCTATGTATGAATGGAAATAAGCTGTTCTGCAAAGTCTGTAGGGGTTTAGTTACTTTAAAAATGCACTACCTACAGTCAGTATAGGGTCCTCTGTGTGTGCTTCCTGAACTGTCCCAATCTTGGGGTGATTGAGGAAGCCTGGGAGTGGGGTGTGGTGGTGTTGGTTTTCGGTGGTGGTGGTGGTGTTTTTGTTTTGTGCTGTGGTTTGTTGGGTTTTTTTTTGCTATGAAAACACACAGCATCGTTGTCTGGAAAATGGAAAGCCAGTAAAAACCAGAAGGAAAATTCTAGACAGCATTTGGATACAGAAAAGATGGAATTAGAAAGCGTGAACTTAATCCTACTTTTTTATTCTTCTTAGTCTGTGCTGTTACCTCCGTTTTATTAATGCTTGAATATTGCCCATGGCAACAAATGATCATTTTATTGTTGGCACATTGGATCTTACATAGAAAAGACAGGGCACTGCTGTTTGCATTAATACCCTGCTGTCTCGCCCTGGGCAAGAGTGAGAAAAGAATATGCAAAAGTGGTGTTTGTACTTCAAAGTTTTCTTTCTTTATTGGAAAACAGACCTCTCTTTAAACAATTTTTACTGAATTGGTAAATTGCTTATGTAAATAATACCTTTTAATGTTTTTAACAACATATACACAGGTATCCTGCTGCTATTAGTTCTTCATCAGCGATGAGTTTTGTGGTAGATTTGGGGAGGAATAAAAGTTTTATTGGAACACTTTGAATATGTATTTGGTAAGCTGGATTTGTATGTAGTCACTGGTGTCAAGTAATGTGTTCATTTTGCAATACTACTACTAAAAGATAGTTTAGCTTTTAAATTGCGTTAGAACAGTGAATGTATGGTCCTATACTGAATTTATTTGCAAGAAAAGATGTGGTATAGTTTTCTGTTGACAGGAATGAGTAAGAAACAGATTTCATTTCAAGATGGAGCTTCAAGGCAGTTTGAGCTGGAGAGGTGGTTGCTTTGGCTTTGAAACTGCACTTTTCAAATCGTGTAGTCTATTATTGTTTAAATGTATGCTGATAGAACAGTAACAACTCTGTGGGGAGATTGTGAGGGAGCAATGATAAGTCTTTCTTTAACTTCACTGTTCTCATTTCCAGGGAAGCACCACTGCCCTTTGTGCCACAGGTCTTCGGAACCTGGGAAATACGTGTTTCATGAATGCAATCCTTCAGTCGCTCAGGTACCTCCAAAGCATTCCCCACACCTCTGTGAGAGTGGTGGTGTGCTGTAGCATTAGGCAAGGGAAGTTGGCAAGTTACCACCATATGAAAGTGTACCTGGTTTTGCAGGAAGGGGTGTGTGCAGGTACCGTAAAGTTGTTCCGCAGTGTGAGGGACTTCCTGTGATGCAGCGTTCTAGAGGAGGCCTGCCGTGTCCCCAGCAGAAAAGGAGACTGCCCTTTCATTGCAGAGGATGTTGAAAAATGCTGATGCTTACAGTCACTGTGAAATTAGAGACAGTGCTTTGAGAGATGGGGTCTCATTGAAGTGGGTTGGAGAACAGTGTCTGCAGTGCTGAGATGTTAGACCTCATTTCATTGCTGCCATGACTGCCACTGCTCTATAATTGTCCTTTACATTTCTGAATTTGCCTGCTTCACTGGGAGACTACTGGGTTGGGCTGCAGCAGAACTAATTGGTCTCCATTTTCTTTTCCATCGCTGAGGGTTCACTGGCAGGAGTTGAGGGTTCACTGGCAGGAGTTGAGGGTTCACTGGCAGGAGTTGAGGGTTCACTGGCAGGAGTTGAGGGTTCACTGGCAGGAGTTGAGGGTTCACTGGCAGGAGTTGAGGCACGTGCTTCTTGTGTTCCATTACTGAGGCTTCGTTAGCAGAGGCTGGGATTGGTAGGTGGCGGTAGACACAGAGTTAACCTCCTCAGCAGATGCAGTCTGGTTTGTTAGGGAATGCCTTCTGATTTCTTCTGTCTGTCATGGTGTCTTAGTCAAAGCAGAGCTAAGATATAATTATTTCAGGTATTTGGGATGATGATGATATTTACAGATCTGGTCAGTCATTTACAGAGGATGAGTATTTGTACCTTGAATGGTTTATGATTGCCATCCTCTGTCACTGCATGAAGTTCTGTTTATGCATTTCGAAGAACAGGCTCCAGAATACATAATATGCTTTGTTCTCTGCCCTTTAAGAATTTCATTCATTTTTCCTTTTTCCATAGTAACATTCAGCAGTTTTGCTGTTACTTCAAAGAGTTGCCTGCTGTGGAGCTGAGGAATGGGAAGACTGCAGGCAGACGAACTTACCACACCAGGAGCCAGGGGGATAACAATGTGTGAGTTCCATGTTCCTTGTTAGCACTGAACTTTATGGAAAACAGCAAATGCTCGAGTAGTGGAGCCACTCTATGCTTTAGTGTTGCAGAACCATAGAAAATGATTTGTGGGATGACGGTCATAAGAAAATAATTGGCTATACAAAAAAAAAAAAATTCTCACTTGCACTTTGGCTAGATTCATCTGGTGCTCCTGGGGGAAGCAGTCACATCAGAAAGCACTGAAGGGTAACTGTATTTAAATTGGGTTAAGAAGTGCTAGTTGTATGCACTCCAGAAACTGTTACTTAATTACAGCTAAATTATGGTCCTGGGGATGTGTCTGCAAGTGAACATCTTTAAAACAAAATAAAAGAAAAATCAAGAGTAAGCAATTCACAATCTGTAGCTTGTTTGAGCAAGTGTTAAAGGGATGATGTTAGCAGAGTCTGCAGTGGTGTGGTGCAAGGTGGATAGATTTGCAGGTGAGTCCTTCACATCTGAAACGTCTGAACCTACGGGTAGGATTTTGGACCTAAAATCTCTGAAGTACTGGAAAGGATATTTACCCATTCTTTATAACCTTTACAATCCAAAGCACTATCTGACATTTGTACCATTGAGCTAGTAAATCTCTACAAGATTTCTAATGCAAACCCATATTTATCACCAGCTTTTCCTTTCTTTCCAGTTCGTTGGTGGAAGAATTCAGAAAGACGCTCTGTGCTTTATGGCAAGGAAGCCAAACTGCATTTAGTCCAGAGTCTTTATTTTACGTCGTTTGGAAAATCATGCCAAATTTTAGGTAAGTTTTGTAGTATAAGAATAATATTATTAATTGCAATCTTGTATTGCTGGTGTTCTACTCTAAAATCTGTGGGATGCACTCTGTGCAGCTTTTCCATATGCCCACAAATGTGCTTTGAAAAGTATCTTTGCTTTAATTGCCAGTTCTGTGTTCATTGGTAGTGCTTATTTTTCCCTGCTCTTCTGCCACATACTATGTGCAACAGTGTCGGAGAGGACAAACATCTCAAATACTGAAATAGTAGTAGTTGTACCTTTGAGCCAGTGTTCCAAAAGGGCAGAAGAATCAAGATAGTGACTGGTAGGTAAGGGCTAAGCGCATGATGTTGCCAGAACCCAAGCTTGGCTGCAATAAGAAGGTGATGGAGTCAGATTTAAAAAAGGTACAGCACCTACAGGCCTAAATGCAAGCATACTGGCTGAAACTTCCTTGATTCTCTCAAAATACTGTAGTCACCAGCTGGACACGAAATAAGGGCTATGATAAAAAATTGTGTGCTTAATAGGTGTTTTGTGCCCATACTGACAAAAGACGACAATAAAAAGAAAGGGGGAAAAAAGGTTACTCAAGTAAATCGAAGTATCATTCCTCTCCAAGGTCTCCTTGTCCTGGCCCCTGAACCTCTTTCAAAGGAGCACTGAAACCTGTTAGGATATATTGTGATGAAGGTAAGTTGCTCCATGTTCTCAGGTAGTAAAGATGTTCTGTTATCTGTTACATCTCCAGCAGTGCTGAAAAGATGCTGTGAACACATCTGCTCAACGAGTAACCCGAGTAACACAAATCCATTTATTCTGTTCTTTACACTGCCAAATATGTTTCACTTGGCTTATGAGAATCAAGGAAGTTTAATACCAGTAGTTGCAAGCAGCGACCAAAACATTGTAGGCAAATGAATGTCATCCATAAAGTCCTTGACCTGTTTCCCCATTACAGTCTTCACTATAATTCTTGTTAGACTGAGAAATCAGTTTGTTAAAGTTCCTCAAGCAAATTTTCAGCACTGTGGGTTCTATCACAGCTTTTAAAACAAAAAGTGCTGTTTGTTGGGGTTCTCCCCCTCCCTGTGTTATTCCCAGTTAGCTGGGAATGTGTCCTTGATTAATTGATAAGAGAACTCATTAAATCACATGGAGAATAGATTCAGCTGCTCAGTAGATCCCCACTCCCACATGTTCTAGGGTGAAAATCTGTGTTTGTTCAGTGTTTAATTGTACCTTGTAAAAGTGAATGATTCTACAATTCTAGTTTGACTGTGCACACTTCTTACGAGATTAGGAGAAGGTGGATGGATGTGTGTGGAGGAAAGCTGGAGGCAGTAGCACATTAATGTCAAAGCAATATCAAGCCAATTTGGCTTGTGTTTATGAAGTCCAAAGTGATGGGGTAGGGGGAGGAAACATGTTTGGAAACCTGGTTCAGTTGTTTTAGCCCACAGAGATTTCAGTTGTTACGGCATGTCATGCCTGCCTCCAAGGACTGCAAGTGCTGCTCTTCTTAAAGTGTTACAGCAAATACTGCTGTTGATGCACTCCATGGCTGTCTCCTACTGCGTACAAGGAGTACAGAATGTAATTTATAGTTTCCATAAGCGCAACTGGAGTGTCTCTGTGCTCTAATGCTGCTGTCCAAGGAAGTCCTGCTCCTTGACTGTTGGACCGAGTCTGCTGCTGTCATTCTCCATGTGCCAAGATAGTTCTGTAGCCTCTCGCTGAGTTGCAAGATGTGTATGTTGTCAACTTACTGCTGTATAAATAGTATGCTCTGTTTTCCTGTTCATATCCTATCTTGTTGCCAGTAGAAAAAGGACTGTCTGAGGTGGGCTTGAATTGAATTGCTTCAGGTGGATGGAGATTGGTTTTATTACACAAGCTGACTATCAGAGGAACTACTGCTTTTTGCTGATGGGCTTCTAGATCATAGTTTACTTTAAAAAGTTCATTGTCCCCATCATCACATTCTTTTTAAACTGTGTCTATACTACTGCTTTTTTAACAAATCCAAAGAATCTTTCATCCATAATTAACAAATTTGTATGCAAGTATAAACACATGCACCAGGAGTACAACCAACACTGGAATGGTTCCAAAGGTTTTTTTCATCAAATTTGTTGCAGAGCAAGAGTGCCATATGCTTCAGAGCTCTTGTATGAGGAATTTAATGTTGAAAAGGTGTCTGAAGCAAAGAGTCCATAAATTTAATCTTCAGCTGTTTATTATGAATGCCTATATGTTTACTGAATTGAAGACAGCTCTATTCAGTTAACTAAGCAAATCCTGTGTTATCTCAGCAACTTCAAAATTATCCTACGGGGTGCCCAGTTAATGTGCAGCTTGGAAGCTGAGTTCTGTTTTACTACCTTATTTCATAGTAATGTACAACTATTTTGCAACTTAGGGAGAATAAGTCAGTCCTGTTCTTGGCTGCACAGGACTCTGGCCTGTTGAAGCACAGCAATATTTCTGTGTGCCATTTTTCTGTTGCAAAAGGTAGCTGATGTTTTTCAGGGTGCTGCAAGATCTGCATACAAAGTTAAGGATTTCTTTTAAAGCTGCTAGTTTGGAAGAAAACATCAATTCGAGAAGATGGAAAGGCTCGATTTCATTTTTATTTTGTCACCTCCTAACAGTACTTTTGTAGGACGTACCTATGTATTGCATACCTTTGCACCAAGTCTGTTCTCATTTCTCTTCAACTCTGGGTGCTGTGCCATGGGTCTTATGGGACATTTTCCCTTCAGGTGTGCATAACACACCTGACACTGTGGCACCCTGTCCTACCAAATCCAAATGCTTAAGAGATGCTCTGGATACCCCACCATTACAGCCCTCTCCCAACAAATGGTGTGTGGGCTATGCAGGGAAGGTGTGCAATTCTGAGCATGGCTACAGATCTTGCCCTAGAAGAGCAAAGAACTTTTTCTTTCATCTTAATTATTTCAGACTTCATATTGTTGCTGAAAGATGCATGTGGGAAACAGACCCAAAGATTAAATTCCTGGCTTTGGTGGGGAGGGGAACAAACAGACAAGCAAACACTTGGAGCTGCTAGAATGAGTGGGATTAGTGGCTGAATGTAAACCACTCAGAAATACCAAAGCTGAATCCCACATGAACATTTAGTGGTGTCTCTCTTGAATTTTACCAGGTATGCAATGTCAGTATATTGACCATCATTTATACTAGTTTCAAAGTAGGCATGAATAGTGTGCTGCCTGAACTGGATTAGTGCATCCACAGAATTGTTACCAATTACAGTCAATAACAAAGAAAAAGGAGAAATGCTTTGCATGGACGAGGGGAAATCACTGCTCCCATTGTGTATGAGCCCTCGGATTTTACTAGCACAGACTGGGTTTGGTGAGGCCAATGGATGTTAACCATTCACATATTGACATAAGCAAATGTTATGTTGCTGTTGCTCCCTGTTGTTTTCTAAAAGGACTTCCTATCTAAAAATGGCTATTAAAGGTTTCTCCTTCCTCAAAAAGAGATGTGCAGAGAGGCAGAGTAAGCGAGCTGCAAGAGCTCAAAACTGCATAGCTTGTCCAGACGTAGCCGTACATTTTCCAAGGCTACTTGGAAGACCTTTGTTTGTGTCTCTGTAAAGTCTGCTCAGTAGAATTAAATAAGCAAAAGTTCTTTCACGTGACCCTGGTGCTCTCTTGTGAACGCACTAAAGCAGCCTGTGTTTTTGGTGACTTTGTTGCTGTTGTTTACTTTTCTCTTAAGGGGATACCAGCAACAGGATGCCCACGAGTTCATGCGTTACCTTTTGGACCATCTACATCTGGAACTCCAAGGTGGCTTCAATGGTGTTTCACGTTCGGTAATTTTGCAGGAAAATTCTAGTCTGACTGCAAGCAACAAATGCTGCATGTAAGAAGTTGTTTGTTTGTTTATTTGATTTTTAATTTCTTCAAAACTTTAATGCTCTTGTATAAGTCTGTGTGGTGGATCTGAAATTTTGAACTCATGGTTCCTTGTTTAAGGAACCAACAGCCTCTGCAATGTTGGAAATTACAAAGCTGTAGGTTATGAAGGATTAGCTTCCTATAGCATGTGTGTTTTTTCAAAAGGATCAGCATTTGTCATAGGTGTAAGTGAGCATGCATGGAAACACGTTAACTCAGGAGTCTTTCAGAACTAAAAAGAGCAAACTTAGTATTTTCTATTCTATACCTATACAGAATTCTTTGTTCAGACAGACTCACTGTCTTAGGGTGACAGATGACCTGCATGATACAGGAGCAGGAAAAAAAAAAAAAGGATGGCCAAGTATTCGTAGGTTTAAATTGTCAGCATACCTCCTGGATTAATGAGTGAGCAGTGCAGGTGGGGTTTGAAGTCAGTTTTCCTGCAGATATCTTGCTACGTTTGCATATCACTTGACACAGTTAAAGCGGTTGCTCTTTTTTCCCTAGAAATTTTGATTTTCATGTTACTGTGTGTCTTGTAACAGAGGTAACCCATGTGTTTCACTCCTCTTTCTGTACTTCTCAAAATGCTGTTGTTTCTGAATTCTGTCCCAGGTGTGTTCTCTCTCAGATTGAAACTGTCCCAGAGAGAAAACATTTTAATTTGCTTCAGGGAGGAATGTTAAGTCAGTTCAGCGTGCGCATTTGGTCCTTAAGTGCTTGGATTCCCTATGTAAGAATTGAGTTTTCCCTTCCTATACCTATTAGGAATTAGTAAGCAGGTCTGAGAGATGCAGGATTTTATAGATGCTTCATTAGGGAAAGCATAGAGTTCAGACTGTGCTCTTTACCACATTTATGTTGCTTTGCTGATGCTTAAAACTCCCACAGAATAGTAAAATATTGTTGGAATTGAAGCGTATTTGAAAACTACACCAATTCTGTTTTGTTAACATTTTGAATGTCAAAACCCAAGGAGAATTTAAATTGTGTTCACACACCTACTGTAAATTTGTCTTGACAGTAGCTGTTCAAATGCATGCTGAGGTGGGAGTGAGCTGCCTTCTGTAGAGGGTAAATTAGGGTCACTTATATTCACTTAAATGTCTGCAGTAAAGGAACAAATACACTGTGAATGCTCTCTTCCTGAGTGCTGCTTTATTTGAGTAGCCCTTTCTGCTCAACAAGCAGCATTCAAATAAACTGTAAAGATGTAGGTGGAGAGCAGATAAGCAACACTGGTTTTCTGCAGGCTTGTGTCAGGTCTGCAAGCACAAACACAAGTTTAGAGGTTGTATAATAATACAGCTTTTTTTATTTGGACTATGAAAAGTCAGTCAGTCCATTACATAACCTGCTAAAAAGATTGAGAGTAATGAAAGCCTAGAGAGCAATGATGATGCATATTGTTAATCATATTTTAATGCAGCTTATGCTGTCTTTGGAAATCAAGTGCAGAAATATGCCTTAAGTCAGAGCTACTTGTAACAAAGGGTATAGAATTAAAACAAAAAAAAAATCTACATAATCTGCTCAATTTACAGAAAAGAGAATAATTTTTGTTTAGGAAACAGCCCTAATTACAGGGTTAAAGTACTGTGCCCCTGTAAGCATCAGCTCTCCACTGTGGAAATCAACTGGAATACTCTCAACACTGAAATTCTGAGCATCTACTTAGAGCATATGCAGTTCACAGTTTCTTCAGGTACAAGATGAAGTGAAAGTATTACAGCAGCTAAATACTTGCACGATTCTGGGGTGAATGAAATGCCTATGGATTAACACATTCGCTGTTCATTACACAGGGACAGAACCGCTCTGCCGAGCAGCGGTGAGTTGTAAGCAGTAAACGTGTAACAGGTATTGAAAATTCAGCTCAGATGTTCTGACTTCCCCTCTCTGATGTGGTTTGTCTAGAAATGGAGCATCCACCGTTGTCACAGCAATTTTTGGAGGCATTCTTCAAAATGAAGTCAACTGCCTAATATGTGGGACTGAATCTAGAAAGTTTGATCCATTCCTAGGTGAGGTGCTTCTTGCTTTCTAAATACTAGGTGACTGGTAACTCTGAAGCATGTTGTATTTAAATATAATATGACTGAACCAGAGTTTTGGCCTGAAAAGATGAGGCATTATTTTATTCAGCCCTAATTTGTTTTTTGTTTTTGCTTTTTCTAGACCTTTCACTAGATATTCCAAGTCAGTTCAGAAATAAACGTACTAAAAATCAAGAAAATGGACCAATGTGCACACTTAGAGGTAAGAGCGCTTGGATAATTAAATCATTACTAGGACTAAGAGTATATACTCTCGCGTGTGTCTATTTCAGAGGAGCTAGGCTTTCACCTGTGATGTGACTTGGTGCCGCATGCCATCGAATTTTTATCATTTGCCAGTGCTCTGTGCTTAGAAGTAGGTGCCTCCTGGCTCTTTGGTGTTCTGCTTTTAAACCACACAAATGCTGTCCTGCAAAGTTGGGCAATGGTGCTGTTATTGACTGTTTTAAAGGCTGTTAATTTTTAGATTTGTGCTGCAGGCTGTTGAAATATCAAAGCCCATTATTTTCTGTGGTCGCTTTGTACCTAAAACTAAATCGCCTCTAAAAGTTGAATATTCTTTTAGGTTCTCTTTTGAGAACAGTTGTGTTGAATGTTGGGCCGAATCTTGTTTGAAAAATGGAGGTTTTGTGAATGCCTTTTTTTTCTTGAAATGCTTAGCTGTGTTCTCAGGAACAGGGAATGCTGCATGTAACAACATGTTACTGGATTAAAACACACTATTACAGAGCTTTTTGCTGCACAGATGTATATAACAACGAGAACAACCGCAGCAGATATGCTCTGTATTTGCTGTGTTTTTTGTATTTCATATTACAAAAATAACTCAATGTCATCTTGAATCAGGCTTCTTCATGTGGACAACTTGTTTTTTTGTACCTTCTTCTTTTTCAGATTGTCTTCGCAGTTTTACAGACCTGGAAGAACTTGATGAGACAGAGCTCTATATGTGTCACAAATGCAAAAAGAAACAGAAGTCCACCAAAAAGTTCTGGATTCAGAAACTACCAAAGGTTTGTATAAGCATGAAAAGTAACAGTGTGACGTGTCAAAGAAAATAATGACCCCACCATTAGTAGACCAACACCTAACCTTCCAGTAGGCTATTGCAGATGTCCAGCATGAATTTCAACCTCTTCCTCTAATGCATCCATTTAATTTTTTTTTAATTCCTGTAGGTGCTATGCTTACACTTGAAACGATTTCACTGGACAGCATATCTGAGAAACAAGGTTGATACATATGTTGAGTTTCCATTACGAGGCCTAGATATGAAATGCTACTTGCTAGAGGTATGACAACTCACCAGTACTTTCTGTAGAAATTTCTTCCATGACATATGATGCCTTTTTATTACAAATTGTAGTAGGTGCTATTGAGATCTGAAGAGTTTTCTGTCTTTTTAACCACAGCCTGAAAACAGTGGCCCAGAAAGCTGCCTCTATGACCTTGCGGCTGTTGTTGTGCATCATGGTTCAGGGTGAGTAGATGGGGGTAAGCCTGCTTTTCTTGGCAGAAACCTTTTCCCTGCTAAAGTATATGCAGAGTTAATGAAGGGTTTTCTGCCCTTAGAGAATATCTGTATTTTTACTGGTGGAAAACAAGCAGTAGTTTATCGGCTGAATTAACTTCAGATAGCTATGTACAGTTACTTGTGTGAATGCCCACTGGCACACTTTAAGGGTAATGAATAGAAGTGTGAGACAATGAAAATAGCCTAGTTCCTTAAGGAACAGAAGACCCTAAACCAGCAGAGTGAATCTGTCCAGAATGCCCCTCCTTTTGCTTTTTCTAGAGAAATGGTGTGGGCTCTGTAAAGGCAGCCCTTGTAGCATCACAGTGCATTGGACTGGTGCTTCAAAGTAACAGGAAAAACTAAATGGACAGCAAAAGGGAGCTGGTTGTTTGTCTGTTGATTAACAAGAGGATTTTGATGGTTGGAAACACAGAGTGTGTTACAGATAGGCAAGAGAAGGCAGGCCTTATCTTGGGGTGGCAGAATAATGAATATTGATGGGTTTGTAGTTCTGGTATGTTAGATTAAAGAAATAGGGGTCCAAGACATGGATCTGTTTAAGATGAACTTGAAAAATTTTCTTTGTATTCTGGGATTAGTTTTGCTGTGAGCACTTTTGATTATATTTAGACTGTGTGAGTCTCCCTAGACCAAAATGGGGAAGACTTCTGAAAATAGAGCATAGTAAAATTTTTATAGCTAATGCTTGAATAATAACAGGTAATGGACTTGATTTTTTTGTGTAGGCAAATACAATGTGTGTGTTACAAGAAGCCTTGCTGGCACAAAAACTATGGGTTGTCATATAAAAAAAGTCTTTCAGCTCATCCCAGTAAATGATTTTACTTAACATAAACCTTTGAGCCCCACAGATTAAGAAGGGAAGTGTCTTACCAGCTGTTGTGGAGGGCTCTCGCTTCTTTTCTTCCTCTGGTTCTTGGAAAGTCTCTTAGCCCTAATAGCGAATACATCAGAGAACAAGGTGGTCTGTCTCCTTCTGATTGTCCTTTCTTTCCCCGCCTCCCCCCTGCTGACAGTGTGGGCTCTGGACATTACACCGCGTACGCTGCTCACGAAGGCCGTTGGTTCCATTTCAACGACAGTACTGTAACGTTGACTGATGAGGAGACTGTGGTAAAGGCCAAGGCGTACATCCTCTTCTACGTGGAACGGCAAGCCAAATCTGGATCAGATAAACTTTAATACCTCCTTTTAATTCTCACTTATCAAGTCCACCGGACAAAACATTTCCATTTTTCCATAAATACTTGATCCAAGACTATTAATTTCATTGTGCACTTTTCAGTTTCCTCTTGTGAGTTTTAGTTTTGTTGTGTCGATGGTAGCATTTGACTTACTGAACTTGGACACAAACTAACTTTTTTAGTTATACCAGAAAACCTCAGCAGATTTTGATTTGCTGCTTTAGTTGTGATAACTCAGTTTTTATATATATAGTTTCATGAAATACTTAGTTATTTGACTTTTTTATATTAATGTTTTCAGTTCTCACTTTCTAAAGGCACATTTACATCAGAAGCTTTCTATCCCCCTTGCAAGCAAAACAAATGTGCTTCTGATTATGAAGAGCAATACAACTTCATGCTGTTCTCACAGCTGTTATGTAGATAGGATTTAATCTCTTCAAGTCGAGAAATAGCTTGTATGTACCATTTCCCTCATGCAAACAACTAAACAGTGACCTGTGAACAATCATTCTTTGTCTGCAGAAGAGAGGAGATGTGACATCATTAAATAGACCAAGTAATTGCTGCTATATTGGTGTGTATTCAGGCTGCTGACTTTCAGGAATCATTGTAAATAAACAGTTGGTTCATTTGTATCTATACTGCAGTTCAGTTCAAGTATTCCTCACATGCTCTTGCCTTCCTCTCTTCAAACTTAAAAAAAATGATCCTAAAATATAGATATGTCTAAGTTGTGTTGAGATTTCTGTTTTTTTAACCAAATCTGAATTGCCTTAGACACACATCTCTTGTTTTAGGCTGTCATCTTGAAATTTGAACATGAATGCTTACTTGAAAATTTGGAGACTTCCTGGCAGGGGGGACCCCAATCCACCTTCCTGGTAGGAAGTGGGAGTACAGCCCTGGATTTTGGGGCTTGTGAGAACGCTCTTGGGTCTAATACAGCTCTTGTCCACTAAATGCCTGCAGTTCACTTAAAACTGAAAGGAAGCAGATGGTGTTTAAGATGCTCTGCATGACAGGTTTTTTTTTTTACTACTAAAGGGAAGATGCTCAGCTTCACAGCGTAGCCTGCCCTGAAGGGAGCTGATTAGCCAAGGCCGCCTGTTGCCAGGACCAGACTTCGGTAGCTGTGGTATTTACACACGGGCGCAGTCTGGGTCTCTAGATTAATGCTGGAGCCATGGTACAATTTCTAAAGCTTGGCTATGGAATGGAGAAAGACCTCTGTTTAAAAAAAAAAAATAAAAAAACCCAACAAAACAAAAAACACAACAACAAAAACCCCACAACAGTAAACAAACCATTAAAAAAACCATTTAGCTGTACTGCCATGCTGGAGAGTAGAAGTCAGCTAGTAAGATGTAAAAAAAAAAAAAAAAAAAAAGGTGGACAGGAAAACCAATATTGCAAAAGCCAAGAGTCCCCAAACCCCCTGAAATCTGAGATTTCAATTCTTGCTCAAGCCCATCCTTTCTAGCTAGCCCCTGTGTGCCTATTAAGGAAGTCTCAAAAGAGTGGTAGTAAGAGCAGAATTGTCTTAATGCAGTCACAAGATCAACCACCACACCACCGTAAAATAGTCTGAAAATACTGAACTCCTCAAGTAAAATGTGATTACCCTTTTGAGTTAATGCTTCTGAAAGACATCACTGTACACAGCATTTTTTGATTGTGCCATAGCACAACCTGGTGCACACAGAGTAGGCATCAGTTTCCTTGCTGTGTTACCTGCTAGCTGTACACTGACAGGTGTGAAGAGAAATCACAATCAGATGGTTTTTACAACTGTCATTCTCTGTAGCTTTTCCACAGCATCTTAAACCAGGAAGGCTTAATATAAAACTGCAGAAAGCATTCAGCACTGCTAATGGTGTATGAATATGTAAACTGTACACTAGTTAAAACCCATTGTGATTATTATTTGATACATTAAGTGACATATATAAGGCTGTTGTTTTTTTACTTAAATTGAACAATAAATAGAACTGTTCAGTGCTTTAAACTGTAGATAGTTTGTCACCTACCATTTCTCCATTATTTCTTGCAGCCAGAGCCTTTCTTCTAATCAGAAGAGGTAGCTGTTACCAGTTATGCAGGCAGAAAAAGGTATCTGACAGACTTCATGGGTGTGCAGGGCAAGTGAAGTATTGTACCACATTAAAGGGCAGTCTTACTGTTTGCAGTCAGTTGGGAAGTTAAGTAGATTCCAGCTGTAGCTATGTTTTGTCTGCATGCTACTTGGATTGGATTGCTTTAGAGTTCTAGTTTCAAGAATACAAAGCTTAAAATGCACAACTGGCTATGGGCCAGCAGTTTAACTTACAGTAGTCAGGTGTATGCAGTGTTCTGGCAAATGAGTGATGTAAATGTGCCTTTTTGTATTTTTAAACTTAAATTTGTAACCTTTAGCAACATTCACTTATTTTAAGCGGCTTTTACTTCTCCAGTTAATTTTTTTAGGGGTCAAGAGTTAAGTTCTCACTTCAGTATTTCCTTTCAGTAACATTAGCTCTGTAACATTAAGGTCTTGGGCAATGGTATCTCTCATGGTCCAGTTGAGACACGGCCAAGGGAACACAATGCAATCGCGTCAGTCTTGTTCTTGCAGCAGGCAGACTCAGCCATATGCTTTGCTGGAACAAGTACATTGTAAATCCTTTCCTAATTTAACTTTCTCCCACTGCAAACCCAGATGGACAGTATGAACAGATTGTTGTGGCAACACAAGTATTTCTCTTCCTGGTGGAGAACTTTGCTTATCCACTGTATTCTATTCAGTGTGGTGTCAAAAAGGAAAAAAAAAAAGTAACTGAGCACTGAACCAGTAACAAATACTGCACCTGCCCTAGTATTACATTTTTAACCTTGTATATCCTATATTTATCTACTAGCTTGTGGGGGTGGGGAAGGGATATCTCATTTAAGCCAAATGTTTCTTTTCTACTTACTGCTAATCATAGGACACATTAACTGGCAAGATTTTTTTTTTCTTGCTTGTGACTGCTCTGCAAGCATCAGCTGTTCTCTACAGTTCAGACTTGTGTATTTTTCACCAAAATCTGTCTGATCAAAGGTTGTCCATTAGTAATTGTTTAGCCATGTATACAACTGGAGATGAGATTTATGTACAACAAAACTGCAAAATGCCCAGCTCTTGGGATAGTTCTGCTCTAGGGTGTTGTATAGTGAGCTGTCAAGTGCAGCATTATGCAAAACTCTAAGGCACTTGCAAAGAGAGCTCCTTCGGAGAAGGTGCTTGCCAAGTGTAATAGCTGTCAGGCTCAGAGGAGTTTAAAACTTGCAGACTTGTATCAAAAGCAGGAGGCTTTTTTTTGGGTTTTGCCAAATCAATAGAAAGCATAACAACGCATGGTGGTCAAAAACTTCCTCAGCATTTCATTACCGACGTGTCTGTGTCTTACTGATGAGGTAATCAGCACCCTGAAAATTGATTCCAGTGTGCTTTAGGATATCCTCAAGTACTGTAGTGCCATAGTTGTAATTGTTTACCATTAAAAATCTAGTGTGTAATTTTCAGTGAGGATTACTGACTATGCTCATTTTGTGTGTTTCCGGAGCATTTCCAGGCTGAATGTGAATTATATCTCATTCACACTGTGTTTATGGAAAATGTGCCATTAAAGTGTCTCCTTTCCTTAGAAAATGGAACTCTTCTTCCTTCTCCAGGCTAACAGAGTATCATTACTGTAAGTCTTTCACTGTGGATGGCAGACTATTTAAACTTGTTCTGGGGAAAACAAAATACAGCAAACTGCAGTGTTCCAGCTATCTAACACTTAGCATTTAAACCTAAAGATCACCTGCCCTTCAATTGTGAAGGGCCTTGTCACCCAACAGCTGTTAATTTCTGTGTGAGATTGTGGTGCTTGTCCTCTGTGCAGTTGAAGAGTCTATCCTAGCAATGGTAACCTTGTCATTCCAGGTTGCTTCCTTGTTGGTTTTTTTATAAATAACATTCTTGTGCTTATTACAACTCTGAGCAGTCTCTACTATGTAAACCTGCTCAAAAATGAAGGTAGACTCTGAAAAGGATGAAAGGACAGGGAAAGAATTGAAAATACTAGTATGAGAATGATGAACAACTGCTGGCACAGCATTTAAGCTGCTGTTTTCCAGCAACTGGCTTACCTAGTATGTGAAATCATATACTCCTCTTGTCCTTTTCATGGCTTCATGAAGTACTCATGTCACTGTCCTGTAGTGTGCTTTTGAGTGTGGGTGGGAAGCAGGAATCTCCTCCTCATTTCAAGGAAAATAGTAAATGACAAAGGATACGAATCCAAAAAGACTGGTAATTGTGAAGCACATCTTACTATATCTAATAGAAAATTACTAACTCTAAAGAATGAAACACTTTTTGGTATGACTGTGTGTAAGCATACAAGCCCAGGTAAGAAACTGAAGTAATTGCTGCAGACTGCAAAAGAATTTCAAATCTTGTTTTTCAGGATTGAATTTCCAACTGCATGCTCAGAGTAAGAAGGAAAAAGATGAGCTTTGGTCCCACTCAACCCTGTCATGTATTGACACAAATCCAATTAAATTCATAGGAACATAAAATCTCCCAGCTACCAAAAATGTGCAAGCCACGTGAAAAAGCCCCGCAGGCCTGTTTTGCTGTTCGTTAGTTTCTGCTCACTAGCTGAATGTAGTATTTTCCTGTGGTAACACCAGGCAGAAGATGGGCATAAACTACTTCAATATTGAGCATTTCTATTTCACAAACATGAAAGTTACAGGCCTGTTCACTGTTGCTTTTAATTCTGACCTGTCCGTTGTTGTAGCTTCATTTTTATTTCTAGGAGAGACTTTCTGCTACAGTTTCTCCTGTTTTTGGAAAACAACCACTTCAGCTTCTAAAAACCAACTCTGTATATCCTTTTCCCACCAAAACTTCCAAGTCTATGGTAATAGAACAAAACCTACATGAAGCAAAAGTACAGCCTTATAAAAATCAGTGAGCAGATCAAGGCTAAAGTCATTGCACACTGCAAAAACAAACCTTCTACTCGGCCAAATTCTTCAAACCCGAGAGGCTGGCAAAGCTATTCCTTGCAACACCCCCTGCCTCCACCCCCTCAGGTCATTACGTCAGAACAAGAACTTTGCTAAATTTTGGGCATGCCTGAAAGGAAAGAAACCCCTTCTAAGGAAGTGTTTCGTGGGAGTCATGTGCTGCTATTCTCCATGCCAATTCAATTCCCTTGTAGAAACTGAACAAGAGTTGCATGCATGTTTCCTTTCCTTTCCCTGTGCATCAGTTGTCAGCCAAAAATAAACACCATTCCACAACCATATATGTGCAACAGCCTTCTGGTGTTTCTGAGCCCCTCCAGCACTGCTGTTACTCCGCAGGGCCAGGAGCCTGTCTTCCTCCTCACGCACTGACGGGCCATGCATATAACCCAGCTGAACCGGGAATGCCTTTTACATCTATTTTCTTTTCTGGACAAAAACAGTAGGAGAAGTTTAGCAAAAACATGTCACAAGATGCTAGAAGTGTTTCAGGATCCTTTACTGTGGTCTTTGTTGAACTTTTACTCTCCAGTGGAACTAAAGAAGGATAATTTTCTCCTGGGACCTGCTTTAAAATACTTATCCATCTGCTGGTATTCAGAGAGAGTCAAGGTGTGTAACATTGAGGACTGGATGAAAAACACTTTCCAGAAAGACTTCTGTAACAGGCACGAAAACACTGTCAGTGATTTTTTACTAGACGTTTGTAACAGGTACGTTCTTTGGGTGTGAAACTCTACATCTGTTGTAAAGGTTAACTGCCTTGAAATGGAAGCTATTGCCTCCATACATCCTACCTGAAATTGAGCATTAAGTATGTGAGTGCTGTGACTGCAGTTTTAATAGTGTTTTTTAATAGTGTTTAATAGTGGCAATAGTGTATACTTCATACTGACTTTCCTTAAGCCTGTTTTTCTATTCCTTCTTTTGTTTGAACAATGAATGATTGATATAGGAAAGTGCAATACAACCTACTAAACTGCTGCTTAACTGAAATGCACTGTTCTGGCAGTGCAAAGCATGTCCTGGGGGGAGAGGCTAGAGGACAGATGTGATTTCAAACAATGAATATATGTCACAACAAAACCCAAGTTCATGAAACATGTTACTGAACACCACATTTGTTTCACTCTAAGAAGTAAGTATTGCTTTTATACTGAAATAAAACTCTGTCTTAGCTTTTTATAAACTACAGTACAGGAAAAGAAATACCACTATGGAAAAACAGCTCTGCGTGTACACTGTGTCTCGTAACAGCCTTACTGCTACAAAGCAGCTCTACGGAAGAAACAAAACATGTTAAGTTACATTAGGAGGAGCAAATGGTGTAGAGCCAGTCCTAGTGTTTCAGTGACACTGAGGATGGCTGAGGTCCTAGATTAGAGCTGAAATGGCATACCTTGGTGCCACAGCCAGGAAGGCAAAAAGTTCTGTTTGAAAGTAACAGTTTAAAAAACCCAACAAATTACAGGTTCACTGACAGGACACGGTCCTCTCTTGCTTTGCGAGAACCAGCAACGGTGTAATCTCAAAACAAGGACTGAAATGCAGGTTCAAAACAGAATGTTAACTTGCAAGTACAAAATTTCAGAAGTCAATTTCTAGAACAACTGATAAATTTGGATTAATTGGCAAAGTGTAATTAGAAAGCACATCTGTGCCTACAAAGGAGGCACAGGAGGAAGTATTCTCTCTGGAATGTCTACCACGAGGCCACACAATTATTTTCATTTTTCTGCCAACGTGAATTCAGAGTCAGCAAGATGACGCAAGACCACAGCTCTGCAGAAACAGTTTAATATTTAAGTACTTTTCTCCTCTGCAGAATCCATAACCACAATCTGGATACTGGATGAAAGGCAAAGCAAAGCCTGTAAGGTAGACTAAGTGAGTAATCTCAAAGTCCATAAAAATCCAGCCTTACATGGATTCGTTTCCACAAGTTAAACTGGACTCTCAAAACAGCAGTGCATATTGGCACTCGCCCCCCCCAATCCATTTTAGCCTTCCTAAGACAAGTTCCTGCCTCTTCCTGCAGAAATGCATTGAAAGTGTTTCCATCCAAACAAAACTACTAGCATTCTGTGCAAAGAAAAATGGAAATTAATTTATACCTAAAACCCTGATACAGGCTGTAAGCACAAATCTTTATCTGGAAGCACTTAGCAGACACCTTACAGTTCTTACAGTATGGAGGCAGGCTAATGGTTCTGTCCAAAGATCTCACAAGATCAACATTATCATTGCTATAATGATTTTTCCCCACAATGACAGTCTAAAGAAGTTCTGTGCTAACAGAAACACCAAGCTGCGCTTAGCTAAGCAGACGGACAGCTGAACTGCTGCTCCCTGACAGAGCTGTAAGCCAGGAACCAAACACTGTACAAAAGGCTTTGCCAGGTTGGTACACAAGGGTCCTTGCAGATGCGCCTGGTCAGCACAACAGCAGTAGTAACTGGTCTGCTCCAGTTTTTCTGCACCAGCGCAGTCATCAACACAGTGACTGGGAACAGGCCTTTTCTGTGCTGTGCCAGGTTTACCCGAGCAACAACAAAAGCTTTTTAAACTGGGTGTGTCTTTGTTTGACAGCAGAGTTCTTACCCTTTTCAATGATGTGAAGGAAGGCTAACGAGTTGTGTGGGGGTTCCACAGCTGACACCTGGTACAGATAGCTGGCACCTATTCAGTAAATCCAAGGAGTGTAAATTGACCCAC